TGATTTGTTATGCCTCTGAAAGTCCAATTATGGTTCATGGAAAAAATCACAAAAATATTCATTCTTTTACTCATTCGGTAAATAACTACATCCTCTTCTAATTTTATGCTAGAAGGAAGGTTATAACTTGGTTATATAAAACCTTTCCAATTCCTGGATAATGTTGAATCCAACCTGCCGCTACACTAGCATTCAGGGTTCCCAAACTACAAGTCGCATATTTTCCGCGTACGGAAAACCATAAATTTCTCTACAGTATTAAGAGGAGACTATACGGATTCCATGAAAATTAGTAGTGGATTTGAGCCATGCTGTTGACTCTACAAGCCACACTGGAAAATTCAGAGGCAGGACGTTTTATGAACAGCCATTTTACGGTATTAAAAATCTCACAGTTGGAAAGTTTTTTCAAACCCAATTATAACCTTCCTTCGAGTATAAAATTGGAAGAAGACGTAATCTTCTACCGAATGAGCAAAAGAGTGAACATTGTTATGCACGTTTTCTATGAAATATAATTGAATATTTGAAAACATCGAAAATCAGGGAGAAAAATGCATGCTACTTAAGTAATCATTTTTTACAGAGTGTAGTTTCTGCCTGCAGCCGGAAAGGCATTCATTCGAAACCCGGCATTCTGAGGTAACTGAATTATTATATAATTATGCTTCACGTTGATCAATTTTACAACCCTACTTAATTACTCATTTCAAAACGAAGACACATTTCTGAATTTCGGTTGACATTTCATGAGTTAGCCCACCTACGGTAGACTTTCACTGCATGTACTTCACCCTCTCCTCCTCATCCATCCAGGACCGTTGTCATGGCAGAATCTAAAAGACCGGTTGCACGATCGGGAACAGATAGCCAACGCCGTCTGAGCCTGCGCCAAGGTGTGCCAAACTCCGATCTGACCCCCATTTTGATCCAACGCAACATCCGCGTCGCTTTTTGTAGGGCCCACCATCTAGAACCCACGAAGACGGTCGCATAGCGACTAGTCTTGGTCAGTAAACAAACTGAACTCCAAGGCACAACAGAACAACCATGCCCAGCAACCAAATCGAAGAACGCAGTTGCAACATGCCTAGCATTTGCTATCGCAGCCAACAGGACAAGGAGCCCGTGCCTCAGTGCTAGAACGTGCGACTCAATGACCAAATATCCTGAGTTCGAATCCAGGCTTATGGTGTGACCGGCTGATGACAGTCAGTGAGCCGAAAATTGCCATTCCAGTCTCCCTCTACCTAGTCGGCAACCCCCTAAACCTATGTGATGTCGATATTTAGGTTTTCGGCCTAGAACAGGAAGCAGGCAATGTTCGAGATTTGGTTGTATTCATGATGCTTTTCGTGTGGACATAACTGCCAGCAGGTCACTCACATTCTTGACGTAATATACTTGAACCCATTGACGTAGATTTAAACTCTTTAAATCGGAATTTTATCTGTACTTCTAACGACTCCCCTTCTCGCCCAAACGAAATTTACCTACCACCATGTGACTTTACTCCTGTGACTGTGACAACAGTGGAACACCATCTCAAAAAGATTCGCGGGTCAACGGCGGCTGGGCCGGACGGTGTCTCTCCTTTTCTCCTTAAGTCTTGCTGTTTGCAGATAGCTCCCGTCTTGACCCACCTTATTAATCTATCCTTCATAGAGTCCAAGGTTCCTGACGCCTGGCGTACAGTAAGAATTACTCCAATCCCTAAAAAATCTTTAACTTTTGCTCCTAAATCTTTCCGTCCTACTGCCTGCTCTTCTGCACTCCTGAAACTTACTGAACGAGTTGCATTAGATTCCCTTAAGTACTCCTCCGTCAATTTTTCTGATCCTCTACAATTTGCATACAAGGCAAAGCGTAGCACCTTGGATGCTGTTGCCTTAGTTGTTCATTCAGCTTTAAGAGACTTAGACAAGGGATGCCGTGCATATGCATGTGCTTTTCTCGACTACTCATCCGCCTTCAACACTATTCCGCGCCAACTCCTCCTGACCAAAGCAGCTGCGTGCGACACTCCGAGCTGGGTTGTCTCTTGGCTTAGAGATTATTTTTCCTCCCGCACTCAGTTTGTCCAGTCGGGAAAGAGAAAATCTTCTATTCTTCCAAATAATTGCGGAGTTCTACAAGGTTCCATCTTATCCCCTCATCTTTTCTCCCTACATACTGATGATTTGAGATCGCCAAACGACTGTTTGTATGTTAAGTATGCCGATGACATGGTCGTAGGCCACCCACTCAAAAACCTGACTCACCTACAGTCTTTAAAGGATGGCTTAGATCACGTCTCCGCATAATCTTCGAATAATGGACTCCTACTCAACAATCAGAAATCAGTACAGTGTGTGTTTCGATTGCGACCCTCTCCCATTCCTGAACCTTTGGATATTCTTCCCAATGAGGTATCCTCTTTCCGGTACCTAGGTGTTACTTTGTCCTCAAATCTCTCTTTCTCTCTTCATATGGAAACCCTTTTAACAAAAATTCAAAAACTTGTTTATTACATTCGTTGTCTACGTTCATATCATACACCCCAGTCCTTAATCTGGCGATTCATGGACGGCTGTATTCTTCCGCTCATTCTTCATTGTTCTCCAGTTATTTTTCCAGCTTTACTTAAAAAAGATCTAATTATTTTTAAACGTGTCATTCGAATGCTCGCCTCTGCTGCTGGTGTTTCCTATCATCTTTTAGTTGATATCATCGTGCAGCGACACTTCAACTCGGTGGAGCAATTCGCTGACCGAATTCTGAATGACACCGTCCATCCCCTTCATAATGAGTTAATGGCTGCGAAATCCTTACGCCCCATGCGTCGATGCTTCCGCCACATCCCTTGCCGCACTTCGGCCTATCGGAATTCCATACTGCCATTTCTAGCCCGGTATCTCACCTGCAAAGATGCTGAAAAACAAAAACTAAAACTCGATCTTGCACCTTAAAGTCCTTTTTTCTTCATATATAATCATGTCCACCTGTCCAAAACCTGTTAATCTCTATGGTAATCACTGTGTACTGGAGAACCGTTTTTGCTGAAAGTTTTGAAAGTTATTTTCAAAATAAAGCAGTCCTCTCTCTCTCTCTCACATCCAACAACTCTGGAAGACTCTGGCCTTGTCATGCTCTCCAGCCCAGTCATGCCTCTCACGAGGCAGTTGGCCTGGCGTTCGCTATAAGTGACCAAAATGCACCCATCAGACACAGAAATTACTTAGCAGAAGGCAGTCACGACAAAGACGACTGAGACGGGGACGGTCACTTCTGGCTTATTAGCCATCAGCCCAGCTCAGGTTTACACGAACTGGGATTCGAACCGGTATTCTTTGTTTACTGAACGTTATGGAGTCTATTACTTCACCACCGAGTCCCACGACCGTTGTCCTGTCGGTTGCAATCAGAAGTATTCAGTATCCTATGATAGACGTTCACTCATCCGGCAATATAAAAGTAAGGGTGAGTTTCAGGAAGCAGGTAAGACGAAGGGTGTGCGATCGCTCGGATAACGACTTTGCTCGAATTCGCACTCAAAACCATCATCAAGCGGTGCACAAGGTTCACTTTCCACGCGAGGTGCGTGCAAGAGAACACAGTCTCAACGACCCAAGTCGCCGGGTCATTATCACACCAAGACTCAGCAACAGGGATGAAAGTGCGACAATTAACGACTTGGATGAGGGCGAGCAAGCCATCGTTGTACCACGTAGGACCCCCCCCCCCCTCCGGGCGATGAGTTCACGGACCGTTATTTATGGTAGAAATGTGGTTGTACGGCAAGAACATCCTCTACATACTGCTCTCCTCATCCGCTCTTCAGTCTTATCTGCACCTGTCCCTGATGATGGGCTCGAGTGAGAAGCTGAAACGTTGGGTGAGTGAAATTCTTCTTCCAGTAATTGCATCTCATTCTTCGCAACTAGAGAACGGTAGAAACTTGCACAGGAAAAACTGGAACACTGTGGGGGGGGGACTTTCGCAGCACCCAGCTCACTCTCTTGTCGTCCATTTGTCTTAACTAAGTGTCAAAACTGAGCGAAGACCTTTGAAAGCGCACCTGGAGGGAGTAAATGAGGTCGCATAAACTCTCCCCCCCCCCCGGTTCGCGTGTTCCAGTACGGCCGGCTGATCGAATCAGACTACACACACACGCACAAGTTCCCCCGGTGACACACACACCGTCCCCCCTGACCGGGTTTCTCCCGTCAGTCAAAGCTGTTGCTGGGATGTAGTCGCTGGGCTCAGTATAGTTTAGTGACGTCTAGGTGGAAGCTCTGCACCTGATCGTGCCAGGGTGGGGTGACCACCTGAGGCAGCTAGACATCCTAAGGAGATTGTCCGTCCGGCAAAGCGACCACCCCCTCCGCACCCCCTACAGACAGCCTGGCCCACAATTTTAACCAGTGGACGATGCCGGCCAGGCGATACAAGCTCCTTCCTTCCTCCTCCCGTATTTGTGATTTGCCTGCCAATTAATACGGAATCAGTAACCCCTCTTGCAGCATTGAGACGTGCATCCATAACGTCCTCACCACCATCGCCTACCCAGTGAGTAGTAGCTGAATGTGCCGGGAAGAGACCACTGCACACCTGAGTCGTAGAACACTAGTAGACTTCTGCCTGTTGCTCTATAATTTCCTCAAAAAAATCAACCACAAACTGGGAGTAGATCCGTTTAAAATAAGGTCAGTAGGGCACAGACCGAGATTTGATGCATGATTATTTGGGCCAAAGTCCATCAGTCACAGCGGAATAAGCACGCAATAGTCAGTAGATCCCCAGCGCCAGTTTACAATTTGTTGCTTTGATTCATATCAAATGTTGGTCTGTGCCTACAGGCCTTTGTCCAAACTAACATACACCAATTTCTAAACTGAAATATGTACCAGAAAGCATATCGGCGATGCTGGGTACCAACTGATGAGCCGAACCCCTCTCAGCTGTGTCATGCAGTGGCAGAACATAAGTGAAACACGCGCCGGGGCTTTTCAATAGTACCTGTGATGATTTATCCTGTAACTCCACTAGATTTCTGCCTACCCGACACTGCCATGAGAAGACCTACATAATTTGACCAACGCTGCCACCGCGCTAACTGAACTTTCCAGAGTTAAAATACTCTTTGCTCATGTGTTGGCGTTCGGGAATGTCTTGACCGCCTTCAGCAAGAGCTGTTCATCCAGCCATCCTCCTCTTGAGATGCATTAAGTAATACCGAATTTCTGAATTAACCATTTAGCCAGACATGTATTTAAAAAGGTGTCTCAATCTTGTCAGATTATTATAGAATGCAAGTTGCCATTTCACGGCGGTAAGAGTAATCCTCATCTCCAGAGTCCCAATGCCTTAGTGACGGTCCAGTTAAGCATACGACAACCCGTACTACTCTGCCTTTTAGAGCGAGAACTCTGAAATTGCGCGCAGTTTAAACACAACTTGTGGGTATTTATGCTTAATATTTTCGGATAACTTACCACCACTTTACCCCCCCCCCCCACTTTAAGAGATATTTTGTGTCACAACAACATCAACAGCTATGCTGATTTTTATCCACTAACTGAAAAAGGACGGCTACTTTGACTTTCCGCCCAAAGGAAGTTGAACAACCATCTGCCATCAGCCAATCAAACAGGACCACACAGTTATCCTCGCAGTAATCGGTAGCTCCAATGCGTAGAAGTTAAGCACGTGTACAATCCATACAGTGGACAAAACCCTTGTCGTGAAAAAAAAAGGTTAGGACCTTGTTGTTCAATGAAGGAGTGCCCTAGTTTCTTCTTCACACCATAATTGACCTTCATTAAGGTCCGGACTATATCTTTTTCAGACGTTGTACCCTCGGTCGTCTAGCATCACTACGCGCGAGCTTACTGGTTCCGTTTACGTATATTCTACGGTTCCCGACAAGTATCTCAAACCGGGACTGGTTTAACTCATACAGAGTGCGGAAGGTGACATCCTGCGTACACCCCGAAGCCACGAATTTCCTGACGCGGTAGGTCAAGATCACGTAGTTTCATTGGGACGCTGTGCGCGAGAACAACCGCCTCCGTGCGATTGGTCAAGGGTGTAGTCACACCAACTGTGACATATTCCATTAGCAGAAGGTACAGTGAGTGACCTATCTCATGAAATGTTGGCTGAAATTCTGAAATGCGTTTTCGATTAGGAAGGATTACTTGGTCGCGGTTGTAATATTGACTATCTTGCGGCATAATCTTATCACATTTCGGACTCGGCAGGATGTCGGCTTTTAAATGCACTTATTTTCAATCTCCTGTAGAAAGAGTGCTCGGTAAAAAATGACTACATAAGTAACATGCATTTTTTCCCATTGATTTTCGATGGTCTTGGAAATTCAAATATATTTTATAGAAACCATAAACAAAAATATGCTTTCTTTCAGTTAATCAATAGAGAATCACGTCTTCTTTATATTTTATACTTAAGGAAGGAGTATAATTAGATTTTAAAAAAGTTTCCAATTATGAGATTTCCTAAGACCTCGAAATGTCCATTTACATAGCATCGTACCTGACGTTTGCCACTGCTCCTCATGAAATAAACAACATGGTCCGCATTCATTGCAAAATTTTATGGACTCTGTATGATATCTCTTTAATGGCATAGAAAAATATGTGATTTTCTTTACGCGGAACGCATGCACCTTGTAGAGTGAAATCACTAAGTGCTAATGCAATGAATGATCAGGCTCCAAATTATTCGGCAATAAGAAAACTTTTTTAAAACCTAATTATACTCCTTCCTTAAGTATAAAATATAAAGAAGACGTGATTCTCTATTGATTGACTAAAAGAAAGCATATTTTTGTTTATGGTTTCTATAAAATATATTTGAATTTCCAAGACCATCGAAAATCAATGGGAAAATGCATGCTACTTAAGTAGTCATGTTGTGCCGAGCACGCTTTCTACAGGAGATTGAAAAGAAGTGCATTTAACAGCCGACATCCTGCCAAGTCCGAAATGTTATAAGAGTATGCCACAAGATAAGCAGTATTACAACCGCGACCAAGTAATCCTTCCTAATCGAAAACGCATTTCGGAATTTCAGCCAACATTTCATGAGACACTGTAAGTCCTGAAGCCTGCGGCAGGCTGGGTCAGCTTGTCATTCCGACTGTGGTTTTTCAGGCAGGCAGTACTGGGCGGAGTCTGCTTTGGCACTAACGTCTGCAGAAGTGAAAGGAAGCGTGCTGTCGGGCTCAGCTGGCGTGTCCACCCAACAGCACCTACTAATGACTCAGTCCACACACACGCGCTGACAGACCGCGTGATGTGCAGTTCATGGTTCCATGTGAGTGTACGCCTTAATTCAGGTGCCAGTGCTCAACGGGTGACGGTGGTGGTGGGGGGGGGGGGTTAAGTATTTACTCAAATGCACGTGCACACACTCTTACCCCTTTAGAGGCCGTTCGAGGGTGACGATGAGAAAGAGGGGCTTCTTGTTGCCCTGGCCGCCGTTGTAGAGACAGCTGTTGAAGCACGTGAACTTGCCATTGAATTGGCTGTACTCACAACCCTCTGCACATGAAATCGTCATTCGCAGTACCATCACCGTCAGCGGTAGCAACAGGGTGGAGTTGTCACATGTTTGTAGACGGCGGGAGGGCAGATTCGTCAAAAGGGGGGGGGGGAAAGAGATAACAAAAAACGCGTGTTAGGAAGCATCACAGGCCAAAGATAACTTTGCATTTCGTGCGCGTGAAGCGAAGTGGTGCTGCCAACCCCGACAGCAACTCCCTCCATCAGTAAAAGTTTGGTTCGTCTCGCAGTTTGCTTCGCCCGCTCAGCCTCCCTCCCCCTTCCTCTGCCCATTGAAGTGTTGGTCCCCTTAAGGGGTTCCCCCGCATTCACGTCCGTGAGCCAGTACGCGTGCGATTTGGTTACCAGGGTAGTGTACTCCGATGCGGGCCAGCCAAACACACACACACACGCACGTAGCGCGCGTGCACAGAGAAACCTTCTAAGTCCACCTGAACTCACCAAAATGACAGCTTTGGGCCAAGTATTTGAATTCGTACCATTGCGCTCACCCCCCCCCCCCTCCTCCGGTTCAGGGGGTAGACTCACTTCTGCGAACCTTTGCGAGTAAATCAACCCAGGGTTCCACCCCCGACCTACCCTTCCAGGACCCCATGTTCCACCGGCGAGGACAGCGGACTGGCCGCAGGTGCTTATGTACGGCCATGATGGGCCTCCACCCTCTCCTCCCTTCCCCTCCCCCAATCCATTGTGATTTATGAGCTAAGCTACCTAAGCTACAGGTGCGCGATAACTCACCAACTTGCTGATCGCGACCGTGTGGCGATGTATCTATAACCTTTTTCCTTCTTCGACCCAAGGTAATGCAGATGTACTGTTCCGAAGGGAGGCTGTGGGATTAGACGGCAGCTGGCACGTATGCGAATGCCCTAGAGCGGGGATAATTCCGCAAATTTAACCATCAGTGAGAAGCGTCCCTACTTTTTCAGACGAGTTCATGTGGCCTAACTTCTGAATAATTTTCATCTTTCGACCCTTGCAAGACTGCAGGTTCAGCTCAAAACTCCCCCACCCTTCCTCAGCTATCGTCATCGCTTGGAGTAGCACATTCACCTCTTTTCATATTTGGAGGGGGGGGGGGGTCATAATTGAAATTTGTCGCAAATTTCGGCGGTTTTTGCTGAAATCTCTGCCTTCGTCTTCTCGCGTTCCTCCAGCCACCAGAAGGAAGTCTCAATTAGTCCGTTTGGGTGTGTTTCGTCAAACGAGGTTCCGGCTGAAGTCCTTCAAATATTGAAATCCAGCATTCTCACAACGTCTCAGAACTGGGCGCTTCTCGGATACGTTCAAGGGCGCTTAGCGTTTATGGCATGATCCTGCTTGAAGGTCTTATAATCAACGTATTTTTGGCTCTCTCTTCTGAAAACGGGTAGGAAAATGGGCGCAATAATGTTCATTGGTGGGTGGCTAGTCAGAGTGAATCGGAATCAGTCTTCCTCTGAAAAAAATTTGATGTCCTCTAGTAGTGAAGTGGGTCGGATGTGGTTTGGTAGCCCCGCCTGAAGTAAACAAACTCCAGCCACCTGTAACACGGGACCGCTGGTGATAGGGGTTTTACAGGTGGGGCCAGGGAACGCGCAGGCGACGAGGTCAAGTAGTTGTATGCAAAAGGAAAGCTGTTGAGAATGCGCGGTTGTACTTTTAGTGGTTGGGAAATAGTTGCCCTGACCCCTAACTCTAATCCCTAACCCCAACCCCAACAGTCTTGTGTCCATCAGGTGGGGCTAAACAACCACATTTTACCGTGAGGTGCCTGGTCTCGGAGTTCGCGCAATCATGCTGAATAACAATGACCGGGTGTCGGGGTCGCCCGCTAAACTGGCGCCCATGCCGTGTAGACCACTGCCTTTACTGGCATCGACAATGGGTCGAGGGACCCCTAGAGGCCACTGGGACACGGCAGGAAGAGAGAGGGAGGGAGGGAGAGGGTCGATACTGAAGAATACCTGTTCACTGACGAAATTTCAGTGTACCGTTAATTGTAATCAAGTAGGCACACGTTTAGACTACCATGCCGCACCAGTAGCTATTACTTACTAACCTGCCAGCCTACAGCCTAGCCCGGTTCTACTTGCGATCCCCAGTTTCGAGGTCCCGAACTCTCGGAGTTAGGGGTCAGACCTTGGGTGACACCTGCAGGCAGACTGTCCCGAAGTCGAATTGAACTTCTCATCCCAGCGCTGGTTCACATAGTTCGCGATGAACGAACTGCAAGTTCCGATGTAGTGCCGGGGGGAACCGGTGGTATGTAGCTAATGTGACTCGTCTCAAGTCAATGACGGGGGCGGCGGCGGCGGTGGAGGCGACAGCTTTTTACCTTTTCAATTTTCTAGTTAAATACGGGGTCGCACTCTACGGTTGAGAAACCCCTCACGGATGTCGCCAATGTTTGAAAACATGACTGACGTGCGGCGCCGCGCCGCACGCTTATATCTTCTTCTACCCTGCGGTCAGCCTTCAATTTCGGCCACCCGGTTCCACTTACTGTCCTTTGTGCCGACTTGAACATTATCATGAGGCCCCCACTTATCTGCGTCTAAGTTACCTCCCCCCGAGACTGCCCGCCCGACCCAGCAGAATCCGTCAGAAAAGAAGGCGCCATATT